TGATAATTGATAATTTATTAGAGGAGGTGATGCAATCAATCACTTGTTTCATAGGTAACGATATTTATATAGATATAGAAATTAGAGAAAGCAAAACATTTCTGAAAGATATATATGCTGTAGCTTTGACTTTCATCTCCTGGTTTGTTTGTTTTTAATTAAGCAAAAATTCAGAACACGGGGCATAACCTCAAACTGACAGGAGGGAAGTTTAAAAGTAATGTTGAAAAGTATTATTTCACAGAAAGAGTAATGGAAGCCTGGACTCAACTTCCAAACTCAGTCATCAGTACTGAGTTTAAAAATGCTTCGGATAAGCACATGTCAATCATCCCTCAAAAAATTAAAAAATAAAAATAAACATCTATGTGTTGACCCTGGAACTATTTTTTTTCCCCCATCGCAGGAATCTTCTCCCACTTCACTGCTAAATTTTGGCTTACTATCAGGATGCAGATCTACTTAATTCACAGTTATGGTACTCTCCAAAAACTTTGTGATGTGGTTATCCAGTATATCAGTCCTATATATATATATATATATATATATATATATATATATATATATATATATATATATATCAGTGCTGTATCTGTGTGTGTGTGTGTGCGCGCGCGCGCGTGCGAATCTCTGTCTATATGTAACAATGTATTTGTCTGTCTGTCCTGAATTTAGATAACAAAGACAGCATTTTTGTACATCCACTCACAAAAGAAGATAATGATAGATTCAGGTTAACTCCCAATGTTTATACGTGTAGAATAATCTAGAGCAGTGGTGGCAAACCTATGGCACGCATGTCAGAAGTGGCACTTGGAGCCCTCTCTGTGGGCACACATACCGTTGCCCCAGCCCTGCTTCCCCCCACAACTCCCTCCTCACCAGTAGCTTGCCCGGAGGAGAGTCTTCCCCAAGTGCAGCCCACGTGGAGCAATGCAGCCAAGCACATGGCAGCAGGGGCAAGACTCCGCCCTCTCGCCCTGTCATGTGCAGATGATGCTGTGGGGTGCGGGCGGAGAGTGTGGCCACCATGGTGCTGCAAGACTGCTTGGGTGATCTGTGGTGAGTGGGCCCTGCGGGGGGCAGAGTGGGGTGGGCTGGGGGGGTGGGCTGGTTTTGGGGCACTCGATCTCTAAAATGTTTGCCATCACTGATCTAGAGTGTACCAAAGACTTCATGATATGATATGACATGACATGACATGATATGATATGATATGATATGATATATGTCGTACCCTGCGAGGCTATCAGAGCGTGGTAGAAACCCCACCGGTTAACCTCACCGCCCTCCGGCTCATGTATGTAAAAAGGAACTGTCCCTGTCTCCCGACGAAGCAATTGCCTTCATGTTGGTCGGCCATCCTTGAAGTTCCAGCGGCGCTGCAGCATACATATGACATCATCACTTAGCGTCTCAATAGCATACGGCTTTGGAGCCTCACAGGGGCCGACAGAAGACTGAGGACTGTTAGCGGGCGTGCGGCCGGATGGTTGTCAGGAGGAACTAAGGGTGCAGGGGGCGCGGTATTTATGTATTGTGACCAGATGATAGTTTACAGGGTGTTGGCTGGGTGGGGTTGGTTTCGCTGGGGACATGGCGGGTAGCTTCCTTATGTAAAGGCACTGAGAACAGGTGATTCCCAGTGCCGACTTTTTCCCATTTACGAATCTTCAGTAAAGTTTGTTCATCGTTCCTGTTTGTGGCTTATTTCCTCATTGCGAAACACCAAGCTAGGATGACGTAACAATATATGAGAAGGAGGTAAAATGGAAGGAGGTGGGAAGGAGTATCCTAGAAGAAAAATGGCTGGAACTTTGTGCCTGATTATTCCACATTGTGTTGCTTTATTCTATGCCTTGTGGCTATTCTGATTCCAACCTGGTGGGCATTTTCCCGTGTCATATATATTTTCATGGATAATTGCTCACTAGATTAACATCTAAGTGTTCCTCTTCCCACCTTGTACAACTTATGAAAAGCATGGTTTTCTTCCCTTTTTTATTAATATAGAGAAATGGGGAAATACTCCTGTAAAGTCTGCAGTTGCTCAGTTAACAAATTGAGATGTTTTTGATAATCTGACTGGATGGCCATATGGTAAAATCTTTCTATATCCTCTAAGACTAAATTTGGGGGGGGGTGTCTATGAATGCATGTTGACTCCTGGCAACTGCCTGGACAAGACCTGCAATGTTGACAGTTTTCTTGGCAAGATTTCAAAAGTGGATTGCCATTGCCCCTTTCCTAGGGCTGAGAAGATATAACTGGTCCAAAGTCACCCAGTTGGCTTTGTGCCGAAGGCAGATTAGCCCAGTGACCTAACACTAAAGCAAAATGGCTCAGCAGAAAGAGTTATTGATTAAAAATCTGTCCTTCCAGCTTATAATACTACTAACTACTACTGCATACTATATACTATATCATATTATCATCATTACTGATCATGAATGGTTGTTGTTCAACTATGGTTCTTGAGATGACCGGTAAGGATTGTTTGCCCATACAATTTTGTTTGAGCTTCTGGTACTGAACTGTTAGGAGATGGGCTAATGTCTGAAACTGAAAATTTGAGATCTATTAATATATCTACCTGAAATGCGTTAAAACAACCATCCCTTCGGTCCAGCATCTTTGCTTTTAAATCTTTGGATGCTTTCAGCAGCATCCAAAAGAAGATAAAAGAGAGAACTCTTAAAGCTGTTTTCCCTCTGAAATTTCCAAGTTCTTTTGTTTTTTTGTTTTTTTTTGTTTTGTTTTGTTTGGGGGTTTGGCATTTTTGGGAGAGTGGATAGAGAGGTGTTTTGAGTATTCAGAGTAAATTCACAGATGCCTCTTGGTTTAAGTTGGCATAAGGTAGTTATCATTCATGCATTCCAAAAGCTACCCAGTTTGGAAACCTAATCCATCATTGATAGGCTACAGGCAGGTTTGGACTGATGATCTTAGCTGCAAGTTTATCTGGAAACTAAATGATATTCATCAAGGTTATCTCTTTTTTTTGGCCTGAGCTGACCTCAGCTTTGTAGGGAAAGGACATCAGATGGTTAACAGAGGAGTTGTGCTTCAGGGTCATTTGCTGGTCATCAGCAAATTTTTAAAGAGAATTAGTATCTAACTATAAACCTTGGTATCAACAAAGATAATTTATTTGACTATGTCAGTCTTCCACAGTTCTGATCCTTCAAGTCTGTCATTTTAGGTTTAGAAGCTGACTAAAGATGTACTTCTGCTTAAGGTAGAATAGGGTGTACTAATTAAATGCACTCTCAAGTTCATTTACTGAGGTTTTTTGGCACCCACTTTCAATTTGGGTTCACTGGTTAAGTTTGGGATAACCATACTTTCTCAGTCCAATCAAGATTCATTCAAAACCAGCTAAAATATATAATATTCTAAACAATTCATTCATTGTATGAGTATCAATCTTGCTCCAAAGGATAAGATTGCCATATCCTGAGGTCCAAAGAGATCTTATTTTTAATTCATATTTAAAGTGATTATCTGCCATAATCATGTGAAATAAAAACAGTTAATATATTCAGTGCACATTTTAAAATGATAATTGTTTAATAAATTCGTGAAGGGATTTTTACCTATTGGCATAAATTCTGAATTGGCTCAGTTAATTCAATATCCTGCTGTTTTCCCAATCATATTATTAAACGCATCAGAACTGGAACTCAAGCATGGAACATAGAGATCAATAATAAAATATCAGTACATAATGTTAATTTATATTCTGCAGAATTAAAATATAAACCATAATAATTTAATCTTGTCTAATACACACACTGGGGTTCCAGACAAATTTTAAAAGTCAAAGGGAAAAACAGACATTGTTATTCAGTGTCTTTATAAAGTGGAAATATGAAAGAAAAAAACTCATTAATTTTCATTTTGGATATGAAGTTGACATGTACTATAGAAAGTGGATCTAGTAAGTTTCTGTTAGTGTGTTGCAAATCAAGAATTATTGACTAGGTAGAGTGGAGCAACAATTATCAGTGGATTTCATGGCCTGTAAAAATGAAAGAGTCTTAACTATGTCCAAGCAGAAAATACAGATTTGTCCCCCAGTTCTTTTCATTGGTTACAAGGGGTTTCTCAACCTTGGCCTCTTTAAGATAGGTGGACTTCAACTCCCATAAGTCTCCAGCCAGCCATATTGACTGGAGAATTCTCGGAGTTAAAGTCCACTCATCTTAGAAGATTGAGAAATCCTGATTAGGTGTTCTCATATTGAAGGATTAACTGATCCCTGCTTAAATGCTGCCATCTGTAGAGGCACTGCATGCTTAGAGAGAGATACTAATACAGTGGTGCCATATTACATAGCACCAAGCATTTCTTCTACATGCTTCATTTCCCTCCAGTTCCAATGAAATCAGATGCTAGAGTAAAAGAAAAACTTCCCCACATACTTCCATGAATACTTTAAAACCCACAGAAACACATGATTGCTCCTCTTCTGAGTCATCTTTGCTGCTATTTACTAATGACTTTGTAATCTCGGGTCCAATAGTCTAAGTTATTTTTTCCCCTTTATTTTTATTGCCCCTTACATTGCTTTCCCTGTCTTTCTTTCCAATGACTCAGGACTTTGTTTTTTAAAAGCCGAGTATCGCATAGGGAAGTGTGTGTGGAAAAAAAAAAAATCAGCCACCAGTAATTCTGGATTATGATTCTTGGCATACAGGATAAAGTAGCTGATTCAAGAGAAGGGAATGCAAGCCTGTGGATGCCACTTTCCTGAGCCTCCCTGAGATAAATTTCCCGGCTGGTTGTGTTCCCACCTACCGTGTAGTGTAACCAGCTGCTAATCAGTAAAAGAGCTGACTAATGAGAAGATTAGTTATAACTCTGCCAGAGCTCAGGGACAGATGCTTGGTGGTTAGAGCTGCCTCTTAGAATAAAGCTACGGAAAATCATTATTTAATGTATAGGCTTCTTGCTATAAAGTCATCCAAATTTTCATTCTAAGGATTTTTATTCCTCAGGTTGAAAAAAAAAATCCGAGCAAAGTTGGCTTGATTCCCAAGGCTCCGATTGCGGCGTTGTTGTTACTTGACGGAGCGGTATGAGAAGTTTACAACCAGTTCTGCAATGAGCAAACAGCTATTGCCAAAGAAGATGCCTTTGGATTTTAGGAATGTCTGTGTCCTTCTGCCAGACCGAGAGCAGCTCAGTTTGACTGTTGGGGTAAGTGTATCTAAGCTTGTTTCAGAGACTGAATAACACAGATAGGTACCTGTGTTGTTTAGAAAGTGTGGGGAATATACTAAAGGTTCTGAGGATTTGCAAGTTGAAAACAAAAGCTTGTAAGCTGAAAAATAAGTTTCTTTTAAAAATGGATCCATATTAGCATAAGTTGGATCTGTTTCTTCTGCAACTTCTTTTCATATTTGTTTGATCTTTTTGTAGTGTTAGAAAACTAAAAAAGAGTTTTCCCTTGGAATTTGTTGATTTAGTTGTGTTAATTTTTCAACATGGTGGACTTGGGGAATCATACTTTGCAAGTTTTATTATCCTGTATGTCTTCAAACCAAATTAAGTAGCGCTATATTCTGAGAACTTTCCCTTGTAGGAAAATAAAACTTGAAATGTAGTGCAGGAAGTAAGGTAGAGAATGAAGTAATTTGAAATCTATGGTGCCTATTACAGATATCAATAGAATTATGTATTTCTGTAGTGTTGCAGGTTTGTTTTAAAGATCTGTATTGTAATAAAAAAATTGTTATCACTGGAGTTAAACTTCTGTCAGGATTTGAATTTTTTTTTAAAAAAAAAAAAAGCAACATACACCTGTTTGGGTAGATTCCCCTTAGAAAATATAAATTTTGAATCAGGCAGCTATTTCTAGTCATGCACAGACCTGTCTATTTCTTTTTCTTTTTTTTTTAATCTTTTCTGTCACTGAAGAGAAAAGTATCAAAGAAAAGAATGGGAAGCTTACTGAGCACTTTAAAATCATCTGGGAAGATAAAACATGGGGCTGTGTGTTCAGAATAAACTGTCAAAGGACTATCATTCATTCTCCCAGTCTGTTTTTGAATAATATGGACCTTCAAAAAGGTATTTTAAAAAACCAACATAAATAGCCAAAAGAATGTTGCTGAATTTCCTGATCCTTTTGTAGCTTATCTTTTTAAGAAGCTTCATATATTGTGTCTGCTTGCTTCTAAATAATTTTTATCATCCTTTTTAATGCTGGATGTTCAGAGCATTTTTTCCTCTTTTGGTGTTTATGTGTTATAGTGCACATCCTGAGGTGAACTGATCTAGCACTTACTGACTGGCTGGCTGACTTATTTATACCATGTGTATAGCCCCCTATCTTAAACTAAACTCTAGCTGGCTTATTTTTCTTGTCTCTCCTCTTGTAACCATCATTTTATTATCAATTTCCCATACTTTGGTCTTCTACTATTTTCTCATTTTTCCTCAAAATGTTGCACTTGGGAAACTGAATTAAAGTCCCCCAAAATAGACCCACCTTTGAACATTGGCTATGTAGGTAGAAATGAAGGGTGCAATGCCATTATCTCTGGGAGGGCGGTCTAACTTTGTATATATATTTCTTGAATTGAGCTTTTCTTTTCCTCATCAGTTTTTCAGTAAACTGCCATGGGTACAAATGAGTTCATAATCTTTGTCAATTGTAATAAAATCCCTTATGGGTAGATTCAGCTTGAAATTTATGAATACAGTTCTTCAGCTTAGCTTGTGACAGAATAGCTCAACAAACATTAAGCCTGTTTGAAGTCTAGATTAAGTGTAGAGCTCATCATGTTGTTTTCTAGGGAGGGGGGAAAAAAGACAGATCAGCCATAGGAGAAACTACCTAGAGCAGGGCTTTTCAACCTTTGGTATATTGGCACCTGGCAGGTGGTACGCGACCATCCTAGAAAAGTGGTAGCGGGGGAGGGAAATGAGCTGAACCGGTGACAGCACCGCACAAGCCTGAGCGAGAGATGGCTGGAGCTGCAGGGCTGTCAGGGCTCAGCGGAAGCGCCAGGATCAGCGCTTCTTCGGGACTGTCAGGGCTCAGTGAAAGCACCAGGATCAGAGCCAGGCTCCAGCTGGAGCTCGGCGCTGATCCTGGTGCTTCCGCTGAGCCTAAAGCACCAATCAGCTGGAAAACAGCACTGATCCTGGCACTTCTGCTGAGCCCAGAAGAAGCGCCGATCAGCTGGAATGTTGCAGCATCTCCAGGGTCTTGTGATTTACATTCAGATGCTTGGTAACTGATTCATATTTATGATGGTCACAGTGTCCCAGAGTCATGTGAAGTGACCAAAACCTGCTGTAACCACCCAGCAGATGGGGGGAATAAAAACCAAACACATACGCCCCGCTGCCAATCCTCAACAGAAATGCTCACAACAATGAAAACCTCGGACAGGAGGAAGAGCGTGGCCGGGCGGGCAAGCAATGGCATTTTTTTCAGTGCCATTGTAACTTCAAACAGTCACTAAGCGAACTGTTGTACAGGACTACCTGTACTTTATCACTTTTTTTTTTTTTTTGGTCATCAAGTTTTTGACACCTTGCTAGGTGACTGGTGGTACTTGGATATTGCCATATCCTAAAAGTGGTACAATGGGTGAAAAGGTTGAAAAGCCCTGACCTAGAGTGGATTTCCGTTTCCAATATGGTATTCCTTACTGATGCTCTTCCCATAGCTGAATTTCAGGAATGTCTGATTTGAGGATTGCATGGCTGCAAAGGCAGCCTCTCCACAGCACTGTATGATTCTGAAAAAATACACGGTTGCTTTAATGAATTGCATACAGGTGTTGCATTCATATTCCTATAATACATGTTCCTTCTGTGTAGGTAGGAGGATTACATTCCTTCATGGGGGGAGGGGGAGAACCATAACTTGTGATAGAGAATGTAAGTAAGTCAAAATATGGTTCCCTCCAGTTTAAAATCTTTTTTTTTTAATTTATGGCCACCTTGTGTTTTATAGCCTGCTTCATATTAAACCTTTCAAATTATCTCTTTCAGTAGTTACAGTATATTAGCAAAATGTTCTTATAAAATTGTTCCTTAAAAATGAGAAATCTGTTTAATTGAATCATCTTAAAATATTCAAATTTCCCGTGATTCCCACAGTATAAGATTTCAGAATGGCCCTTTATAAAGGGATCAGAGTTAAGAAGTTGTAAGAAACCAGTAGCTCACATTGACTTCAATTAATTTCTAATCCCTACTATTACTAGTAGTAACTAGAAGTCACTTGAAGGTTAAAACTGAAAATATTAGCAGGCATTAATCCACAAGATTCGTTTTGGCTTTCACTTTGCAGTAGTTCACTGTGGATCACCAGTTTAAATCAGGTCCAAATATACCCAGGAAGTTTGAAATTTAGTTCTTCCTAATTGAATAGATGATCATTCTAAATAACTGTTTTGGAATATTTAGGGGCATAGTTATAATATATATCTGAAGCTATTTGAAGTATTTGTATTTTTTTGTTAATGGAATCATGCAGCAGCTGTGGAAAGCAGCCATGAAATCCTGGTAAAAGATGCAGTTGCTTTGAAGAGTTACAGACAAGTACTATTTTGATCTTTTAAATTGCTCAGTGTCTCTCTCTCTGTGTTATAACATAGAATAACAGAGTTGGGATCTTGGAGGTCTTCTAATCCAACCCCCTGCTCAAGCAGAAGACCCTAAACCAGTGGTTCTCAACCTGTGGGTCGAGACCCCATTTGGGGTCGAACGACCATTTCACGGGGGTCGCCAAATAACACAGTCCGCCATTTTTTCCCCCTTTTCCTTGGCTGTGCTACTCCCTTTTATTCTATTGGCTTTTGAAAGCCAATAGAATAGACTCTCTTGAATAGAGTCTAATTCTATTGGCTTTCAAAAGCCAATAGGAATTGTCCAGGCTGTCTCTGCCCTGCTGAGCCCGCCAAAAGTCCCATTCTGCAAACGGTGCTGCACCAGTTGAGTAGTCCTCGACTTACGACCAGTTGAGTAGTCCTCGACTTATGACCGGTTGGGGGTCGCAGCATTAAAAAGGTTGAGAACCACTGCCCTAAACCATTTCAGACAAGTGACTGTGCAGTCTGTTCTTAAAAGCCTCCAAGGCTGGGGCACCCACAACTTCTGGAGGCAAGGCATTCCACTGGTTAATTGTTATAGTATATTTTTTGACAAAGTATGTAATATAGTATATGTTGCTGTAGTATATTTTGCTGACTTTCTTTTTTTCATGATTTAATTCTTAATTTTTACTTCGTTTTTTTATTATTGCATTTTGTAAGTCACCCAGAGTTGTAGCAGGTTAGAGCAACCTAGAAATCTGATAAATAAATAACCACCCCACTTCACAAGAATTTGATATTCTTGTTGGGGATCTCCTAAGTTTGTTAGAGATGAAAATGGAACAACCAGTCTTTTTCTCGTCTGAGCAAATATTAATTAATGCTAATGATATTCCTGCCAGGGAGGATAAATGATGGGGGTTCAGGAAGCCAGAGGACCCTTATTCCTAAGAGCCCTCTTCTTTTTCCTGATTTTGCAAAAGGTCCTGTTTATTTCTACTTCCCTGCTGTTGCATGAAATTCTATTGTTTTGTTTTAATGCAGTGATATTAAAGTTTCTATCTTCCCCTGAGATTAGATTATATGATGGTTTCAAAATGATTTTTCAGAAGTTGTCCAAGATCCTTCTCTCCACATTTGTCTGTATCAAATGTGTTTTTTATGGACGCTTTTCAGTATCATCTTGACTAGAGCCATGAAAATGGTAAGCCACACTGGAGAAGCAGGATGGAAGAGCAACACACACTACTTTAACAACTATTTAACAACTACTTGAATGGTTGTTAAGAGAGAGAATATACAGTATTGGGGTGGGCTGTATCCATTTTTAAAGAGAAATGGAAGGGCCTTCAGCACTGCATTTCTTGTTTGTGGGTACAATAGTCTCTATATAAATTGTGAAGAAGTAGATATGCTGATGTAGAGTGCTGATTCTAGTATTTACTTTTGATTTCTTGAATATCTTGCTTTATTTACCTAAAAGGGTTTTCCCCCATATAATTTACCTTACAATGGGAGTGTCATTTTAAAGTTATTGAGAATACGGTAATGGAAGCAGACCAGTTTTTCCCTTTTGTAACAATGGATTATCTCCCTTTGGGGTAAATACTGAAATTTAGTCATTTCTGTAATTGTCCAGAATTAGGAATTGTCATCCCTTCTCCTTTTTCCCTCCCAGCATCATTGAGTATAGGATGAGAATCAAGATATGGCTGCGTTCTCTTTTCCATAACTTTGAAAATATGGTGTGTTGAACAGGCATAGTTTTCCATTGCCTGGTTGCTTTGTTTTCCATCTATACAAGCAAAGCTTCATAGCTTCACTTCCATCTATATGATTTTGTGTTCTTGTGATGGAGCCAGATACAAAAGTACTCTGAGATGGAAAGGGAAAAGGGAAAGGGAAAAGACATAACAGTAACATACAATTAGGACAAGCTTCAATTTCAAACCCTGGTTTGTTCATTTCAGATCAAGGCCATGACTTGTCCCACATTAAATATAAAACAGAGCTTATTGAAAGCAAGAATGGGTAACCTGGTCACCTGCAGATAATTTCTAGACCTAAAGCCCATGCCACTTTAGCCAATTAAGTAATTAAAATCCTTTTAAATATTTACCTGTGGACTTGTAGGGTATGGATCTACTGAGGCAAAAATGAAAGAGGTGCCTTAGAAAATAATGTTCAAAGTCTGTTAATTTGAAAAGGCAGAATGAAAATGCTTAGGATTTCAACTTTGGGCTGGCATTTATATGTAGGGCTTGAATATTATGTTCTGGAGTAGGCAAATGTCCTGCAGTATTCCTTAAGGCAATTCATTGTCTGCAATAAAATAATTTCTGTATGTTCAACCTGGGAAGCAATACAGAAAGAATAGCTGTATATTCATGGCATAGGTGAGATTATGCAAATGCTATAATTCAGCACTGGGGTTAGAGGGCATAGAAGTCCCAAGATTGTTTTGGGTTAAACTAATTTCTCCTAAACAGCTATCTTCTCCAAACCAAACAAAGGAGATGACAGAGTTAACTCTTCTTGCTAATGGTACAAAGTGGTTCTCAAAAATGCGAAATTATCAACTCTCTTAAGCTCTTTGTTTTCTTTTTCACTTCTCCCTCTAGCAGTCTTTTAAGGGTCAATAAGGGAAGGAAGGAAGGAAGGAAGGAAGGAAGGAAGGAAGGAAGGAAGGAAGGAAGGAAGGAAGGAAGGAAGGAAGGAAGGAAGGAAATGTGTGGAAGCTTCTCCCAAATTAATTATAGGTGCTGATTTGATTGGACCATAGACTTAAAAAAAAACTAATAAGGGCCAAAATGTGATAGCCTCTCAGCCATCTCATTGTATCTGAAAGTTCATGAAATATGGGCAATCTTAATTTGATTGGGATATCTTTTGTTCAAGCACTGTTGATGCAGGGCATTTTTAACCCAAGACATAATTAGATAGGTTCAGTGCCAAGTGAACATAGTGTATGTATCATTTCTATCTGAATCATTTTATACCTCTTATTGAAGAACATAAAAGTTCTGAGATGTTCGTTAATCATTATAATTGATTAACATTAATTGATTAGTTACACTCAACTCATAGATGATTAGACTTATAGAAAAAACTAATCAAAATCAAGCAAATCACATTTTGGTTTGGTGTGTATTGTGTGATCCAAAGCAGTGGATCACAGTGTTCTCATATATAAAATGTCCACTGTTTGTCCTATCCTTCAGATGTACAACAGCATAGCAGGTATCACACAATACTGTACATCATTGTTTTACTATGTAGTAATATCATGATTCATTGCTAAAATGTTGTTTAGAAATTAATACTGTATTAAGCTAATTGGAGGCCTTTGACTAGAGTGAAAAATAATTCATAATAATCATTGCCCAGGAATCCTATCAGGGCAATGCTTCAATAATCTGCAAGTTTCCTCTGTAGCAGTATGTTCCATTCATGTATGTAATGCTGTAGTGCAAAGTGCAAAGTTATGATTGGCTTGAAATACCTTTCTCTAAACTGCTTAAATACTATTTTTGTGTTGCAGGTAAAAGCCACAGGACAAGAACTCTTTGACCAAGTTTGTGATGTACTGAAAATTAAAGACCCTCATTTCTTTGGCATCAGTGTTGTAAAAAGTAAGATAAATTATTTGACAGATATCCATAGCCTGTACCTAAGATAGATTTAAGAGGCATGAAAGACAACTCAACATCCTTTCAACACTAACTTGTGAATATGCATATATGATAAAGGGAGAGTCTCTTTATTTGCACTTATTTCTCTCTTTCTCTCTCTTTCTTTCTCCCTCTCCTTTCCTTCTTCAGCCATTCTTTCTGCCAACTTTTCTTTTCACTTCTAGGTAGAATTTAAAGCATTGTTTGTGTAGCAAGGCTGACTATTTGCAAAGTCATCACAAAGTCAGTTTCTTTTATAACTTGCAAAGAATGTTGTTTCTACAAAAATCTGAAGCACTTTGAACTTTATTAAATTATGCCATGGGAAAGGCTTACAAATCATTCCAACATATTAGACAGCATTTTTGTAGCTAATCCTTATCACCTTGATACCCTGGGAGTATTTGCATGTGATATAATTTAAAAAGAGATTCTATAAGAGAAAACCAACCTTCGGTGTTTGGATATCTGGTTCAGCCAGTGTTTTGTAGAAATTGTTTTCTCTCCACAAATATTCATTCATTATATGAGTATTTCCTCTCATAGATGTCAGAATATTGCTGTGATTTTTTTTTTAAAAAACTAGTCTCCCTCAAAATAGAATGGTGAAGTATTCCTGAGGTAAAAATGATCACTCTTAGGTTTTGCATGTCAGCTGTGGATAGTTTGATGCTCTTCAAAGTTATGGCTTCAATCAACTTCAGTCAGCATGGCCAATGGCAAAGGAATATAGGGACTGAAGTCTGAAAACTTGGAATCAGAATGTTTATTTGAGTGTTGCCTCTGCTTTCTTCTCTGTGTATTTGATGTTCTTGGGAGGAGGGGGAAATCCATTGGTGCTTTTTATCCATTGAAGTCAGTGGCCTAGTGGCAGGGGCTATGTATGGAAACTCAAACGTTTCCATATCTAAGAAGAAAGTCCACCATGAGTGCGCCTGGTCCAATTGCTTTGTCCAAAAATGTTTGAGACTAGACCATCTGGAGTGTAGTTATCTAACTTTATGTGTTAATAATCCCTATTAAATTTATCTCTTTTGACCCAAGGTAATGATTATCAATTGATTAGCTTCTTTATCGCAATTCATTTACCATCAGTAAGAAAATAATAATCCTTTCCCATATTTTATTCACTGCAGAAATTAATAGTTAAGCAGGAGGATCAGGATTTGGCCCTCAAAATACATTATTTCCTCCCTCGTTTGCACCTCAATATAAATTTGAATTTTCTGTATTCAAAAATAGAGATACTGCACACGTGAATATAATGCAGAAGTACTTATATACGTGACAGTTTGAAGCTGGCCCAGTAGGCATAATCTTAGGCTAAAAGTTTCCCTGGATGAAACTTGTTATTCATCTGTCATTTAAAATGAGAATTACACACTTCAGAATTACTTTTGTGGTCTCCCAAGTCACATGCATTTTTTAAATCAGCTTTTCTTCCAAATCTGTGCTGTCCAGTCAGGGTGAGTCAATGGGGTTTAGACATGACCTCTGAGGAGATTTTCTTGCTTTCTCGCTCATTATTATTTCTAAAGGATTTGTTTTCACCCAAGTCTGATTTCTCCCCCGGCCCTCTTTTTTTGGTCAGAAGAGTCTGATGAAAGATTATAACTGCCCATGCTCACAATTGTATCAGACTTGGTTGGAAAGAGAATGGATAGGGCTGGCATTTGTGGTTGTGGCCACACCATGAACTGAAATCAAACCCTTCCCCCGGTTTTGTGGAGAAGGGATGCTTTCAGCAGGATTACACTTGGCATCAGTTAAGCTCTAGCAAAATTCAGTAGCACAGATTTATTTGCAGGACTGTCTCTTCTCCCCAACCTTCCCCCAAAGAGGCCACCTTAATCAAATGAGCGTTCAGGTGTCATTTTTTCAGGAGAATATATCTCCCCTCCCCCCAAAAAAGATAGGAAACTTAAGTACATGACAAGGATCTCTAAACTTTACCTTTAATCTTGGAAATACACATTCTTGCCTGCTGCTTTTCTTGTGAAAGGTGTGAGTGTGGGGGGAGGAGAGCTGAGCTGTGGGGGGTTTTGTAACCGGAGGATTACCCTGCAAGTTGGCATTTTGACAACATTAACCTCATTAGAGTTGGAATGTAAGGTTGCATTCCTGCACGAAGGCAGCAACTGCAGGGTGAGACTGGGGACAGGTTGGCGATGGAGGAGGAAAAGGAGGGGAGGCACTTGGCAGAGGAGGGCAGGCAGGTCAGTTGGTGTTTACAGAAATTTCAAAATGGCTTAGTGAGTCACGAAGGTTGACTCTTGGTGCAAAGAAATTATGCTTGGCTCCCATATTTGGTCTTCCTAATCCTTCTCCCACCCAAGCAATTAAATACCTAAATTCCTCTTTAGGTACAAAATAGTCTCAGAGGCCAATTCTTAACAAAAAGAGAGCTAAACCTCCATGTGGAGTCCATAAGGCTAGCTTGGGATGGGAGGGAGGGAGGGAGGGAGGGAGGGAAGGAAGGAAGGAAGGAAGGAAGGAAGGAAGGAAGGAAGGAAGGAAGGAAGGAAGGAAGGAAGGAAGGAAGGAAGGAAGGAAGGAAGGAAGCTTATTTACCTTGACACAAAGCATAGCAGAGAGTTTCCCCCTGGACCTGAACAACTTTATCTGGGAGGTAGGTTGATAATTAGTGAGATCATTGCAAAAAGGGTTTAAGGGGAGTAGTTCTTCCTTCCTTTTTTCAGTTCTGAAAAGTCTTTTCAATAACTAATTATAGGAAAAAAATCTTCATTAATACCAACGGTATTAATTTGTTCCTAGGAAATATCAACTTTTCTTAGGAGTGAAATGGAGAGAGATTGTAGTAAGATTATTATACCTACATCCCAACCCATAGAAATCCTTCAAATGATTGTGGTCCTGATAAATTACCAGCCACCTGATAAAACTAGTTGTGTTATATTAGGCCATAACTGCTGTGGCTTCCTATATCTTTGTATACAACTGGAAAATTACAAGCTGGAATGTACCATCTTTATACAATACAAAGTTTCACCTTACAGGAATATTTATGCTAGGGAAAAGTTGGCAAGAGGGCAGATGGCTACGTAAAATGAATTTTTAACATATATATGTATATGGTAAACTTAAAATTTATGCCAAATAATTTTATTAATCTGGTTGGCTTGCAAATAACTGTATTTCATAAAATATACCACATATTTGGTTCCAAACTTTTTCTTCCATGAACAGTACCCATAAACACAGAGATCCATCAGAGGATGCTCAGACATTTTAATTACTCAGTTGGCAGGAAAGCAGAACACACTCCAAAAGATTTAATTGTATATTTAATTTTCTCTTTATATAAAATCCTGAGCATTTAAATAATTTCAGGTGTTCCTCCTACTATTTATTCTCTTTCCTTTTCAGATAACGAATATGTATTTATTGATCTGGAGCAGAAGCTTTGTAAATATTTTGTAAAGGAGTGGAAGAAAGAAGGAAGTAGAGTAAGTCCTTCAGTGTGTATTTATAACATTGAATTCTTTGCCGTGTTGTATGGCTGAGGCTGCATCTGATGGAACTAAATCTAATTATAACAGGTTCAATGTCAGTTTTATAGTCCACATACATTTGTCTGCTCCAATGATTTTTTTTTCTTGGGGGCTTTTGAAATTCTAACAATGCAATCCTATACTTTAGTTATTTGTTTGTTAGATTTATATTTTGACTTTTATTCAGACTACTGAGCAACAATATGTATGTATTTATATTATGCGTTAATTATATTTTTTGCAAATAACTTAAGACAACGAACATATTTAACACAGCTTCCTCCTCCTATTTTCCCCCCAACAATAACCCTGTGAGGGAGTTGGGCTGAGAGGGAATGGCTGGCCCAACATCACCTAGCTGGCTTTCATGACTAAGGCAGGACTTGAACTCATGTTCTCTTGCTTTCTAGCCTGGTGCCTTAGATTAGAGTAGACTGCCTCTCTGTGCATGTATGTGTGTAGCATTCTTTCTTCTCCTTTTTTCCTACATGAGGTAAGGTGAGTATCCATGGCTACCATTAGACATGTATCTGGATCTCTCCAGTGCCAATCCAACACTGTAATCGCTAGGCCACACTGCCTCTCTACTCAGAAATAAGCCCTGTATAAATGTATATTGCTGATTGTTAAGGAAATATGTCATTCCATGAGAAACTGATCCAAATGTCATGGCTTGCTTTTGGCCCAGTGTTTAGTGTTCTGTATTTGTTCATGTTTCCAGTGTTTTGCTCTAGGTATAGCAAGGTTTTTCAGTTATTGTTTATTTATGCTATTTAAATTTAGGCTTCATTGTTTGTGGTTCCACAGCCATAAACTTCAAGATGAGCCAGAATAGGACTTAGGTATTATGTATCTTTGTAAATTTATCTATCTACTTTGGCAGCTACATTTTCATATTGGCTGAAACATACCTTGTTAAATATGTGGGCTTAATTATGTAGGATCTATCAGAAATCAGTATTAAAAAGACAGAGACCAAAGTATAAGAAGTTTAATATTTTAAAATAAAGTTGTAAATAAAATACCAGTAACCATCAACAGTATTTGTCACTTGGTGGAAAGTCCAGGCAGATAGGTGCCTGTTGATAGAAAAACTATTTCTTTTGGTTTTACTGTCCCTCAGTTTTTTCTTAAAAACTGAGGGACAGATACCCAGTACAATCTGATTCTAGTTAAAACAATTTTAATCTCTGTTGTTACAGAAAATCAAACTAGTGCAGAACCAGGTTCAGAGATAGTTTGATGCTTTTCATAAATATAACCTGCAGATTACTGTTTCGGATCCTCTATTTGGGATCAATTATGTCAGTAGACTATTGTGATTAAATTAAGTCACCAATGGGCTCAATTCAATCACAATAGTCTACTGACACAATAGACAGACAGACAGACAGATGGATGATAGAGGAAGTTGTCTGACTTCTCTTTTGCTATTTTTATTTCAAAGGGAACAGAAAAGTTCATTCCTCCTTTGGTTGCGTTCTTCAGAGTACAGTATTATGTAGAAAATGGGCGAGTTATAAGGTACTGTTGGTTATTACTTTTTTTAAAAAAAAACACCGTACATTAATGTTCACCCTTTTGTTCTTCTATTTAATATAATGCCGTATTTAGCTTTCTGTTACCAATTTACTTAGGAAAGGATGGATTGTGAATGTGTTGGATTCAAGTAGCTTAGTCACACTGTCAAACACAAAATGATAGTTTGTCACTAAACCATTCTTCCATCACATGTGACATCTTCTGTAAATGGAAATCTAGTTTGCTGTGTTTGATTAAGGTATATATAGTTCAGCAACCTGAAGAGAAAAATGTTGCCTCTCTTTCACAATTGAACTTAGATTAATTCTTTCATTAACTGTATTACCTATAATGGCCTGTTGTCAAACTTGCAGAGCTTTTTTGCATAGCAAACATGAAAGAATGAATGGCAGGTGCATTGAAACACCTGTGCACACACCTTTGATAGAGCTGCATTCTCTACCAGGGTTGTGTAGTGATCTGGATTTGAAAAGGAGAAGGTGATATGTAGCATGTGTGAGCATGCACATCACACACATGGGCATCACTTTAAATCAGGGGTCTTCAAACTTGGTCCTTTTATGACTTGTGAACTTCAACTCCCAGAATTCCTCAGCCAGGCACACTAGCTGAGGAATTCTGGGAGCTGAAGTCCACAAGTCATAAAAGGGCCAAGTTTGAAGACCCCTACTTTAAATCAAATCCAAAGAAGTTTTGTCTTTTCCTGATTCACATGGCTATCTGATTTCAGAAAAAATGAATTGTATTTAAGGTGATGTAGACAGGTACAACACATATACCTGTGGCCTGTCCAAATCACCTTTTCCCCCTGCACAACACTCATTTGCATATATAAAAATGATAATGATTTATTAAACTTTTTTCTGCACAACTCTGTATGATTATGGGGAGCTCATAACAATCAAAGAAATTACAATAAAGTCCCTAAACATAAAAATGAAGAAAATCTAGCAAGCAAAGTGTGTCGGGTGGGGGTGGGGGGTGTCACTCTCCCTTGTAAAGGCCTGGGTGAAGAGCCAGGGCTTCATGACTTTCTAAGCAACAGCAGAATGGGGGCCATCCAGATCTTGGAGAGAACCTTGTTCCAGAGGGCAGATGCTATTAAAAGTGTGATTCTGGGGTTCTGAAAGATGACATTATTTAATCAAAGGAATTTGGAGCATATCAACCCAGCAAGGCAGATAGTATGGTAGATACATGGTGTCTTAAGTAACCAGGTCATATGTCATGAAGGGTTTCATAGATAACAAACAGAGCACTGAATCACTTTCAGAGGCAAATCAATAACCAAATCAGTTGATGAAGCAGATGTATTATAGTGCCAAGGCATGCTCATTCATTCGTTCATTTGCTCATTCATTCATTCAGTTAATTTCTATAGCTGCTTAGCTCAGTCAATTACTCTGGGTGGTTTGCTTCAAAAAAAATATATTACAATTAAAACACTAAAAAAAAACCAATAGAAACATCCAAAATAAATATACATCTCAGGTTAGTTAGCCGTAAAGCCAGGAAAGGGGGCCCTTGACACAGGCTTGGGAACATATTCAGGTTTTTAGGTCATTACGAAAGGCTAACAGGATTGGGGCCATTCTAATCTCCAAAGGGAGGGTGTTCCATAGAAAGGGGCCACTGTGAAAAAAAACCCTGCCAGCCAACACTCTTCGGCTGATGATATCTGCAGCAGGCCCATTCTGCTGGATCAAGTTGGGCAGGTAAAGATTGTTGGGAAAAGGTGATCCTTCAAGTAACCTGGTCTGAAGTCATGTAGAGCTTTAAAGGTGACAACCAGGCAGAAGTGGTGTTATGCGTGCTGTATATTTGGGACCATTTATTACCTGTGCAATCATGTTCTGCAGCAGTTGAAGTTTCCAAATGCTCTTCAGGGGCAACCCATGTAGAGCATGTTGCAGTAGTCTAAATGAGATGTAACAAAGGCTAGGAAGGCCTTTGCACACCTGGGATCCTCTTAGACTTGTAACTCCTGCTCGAAGAACAGCTGGCAGCCGTGGCTAGGAAGGCCTTTGCACACCTTGGGGTGGTGCACTGGTTGTGCCCATTCTTGGAGCAGAGCCTCCTCCAGATTGCACACCAGGTCTATTTGGAGTACTACAAGCCCATCCAGAGCTAAAGATATGGAAGGTCTATGGAAGGTCCAAATACCCAAGTCACTCCATCTTGCCATTACTGCTTGCTGCCACATTTTACACCAATTGAAGTTTTTGGATTGGTCTTCAAGGATAGCCCCACGTAGAGAACTTTGCAGTAGTCAAGCCATGACGTTATCAGGACATGAATGACCATCTGAAGTACCCCTGATCTAGGAATGGGCAATACATTGCAGACATGCTACTGAGGAAGCATAGTAGATGTAAAAAGCATAGGACGCTTCCAGATGTTCTTTATCAGCTACCTCATTTTCATAATAATATGTAATAAAATATGACAAACTACAAACAATTCATCTTCTACTCACATTTAATTACAGATTTTTGGGAGGGGAGGCAGCTTAGTTTTTATTAGTGAAGAAAAAAAGTAGGAGTCGAGGGGAAAAAATAGAACTTGGGATGGATTTGATTCTTATGGAATGCAGCCTGCAAGAGGCAGGTAGCTTTCCAAAAGGTGGTTCCAGTCCAAATGGGCAAGTAACATAATATATTTGTGTGATACTGCAAGCTGAATTTGTGTTCTCGGGTTAGTCAAGCAAGAAACTTTCGAAAGGCCTAAATTGAAGCTTATCCTTTGCGTTTGCATAATCGTTTTTTAAAGTTTATATTTGAACAAGACTGCGTTGTTTCTTTTCCTTTGGAAAGGACATCTCTCCCCCGCCTTTATAAGAGTGTTTCTCACAGTATCCCTTACTCTTTTCCAAAGCCTCTTGGTCAAAGCAAATCTCTGTAATTATGAGTGCTCCTTAAAGTATATATCCTTAGCCACAATCCTAGAAAGGTAGCTTCATGTTGAAATGATCTCTTTGTTTCTCTTATTATAAGAAAGCCTCCCCTTAGGAAGCCATTCAGAGGTCATTTTTGTACACAATTGACCGGTTTGTCCTCTTTATGCCCCATTGTTATAATGTGGGGATGACAGAGGTAAAATAACTTTCTTTATCGTCTGTCTAAGTAGCAAGGAAAATTCAGTTTAAGGTCAACTCCCTGGAGTCTTCTTTCTCTTTTTGGTTCCTTTGAATCTTTGATGATTCATGGCAACTGCTTGGACAAGTCCCTGGAGTTTTCTTGGCAACATTTTTGGAAGTGGTTTGCCATTGCCTCCTTTTGAGGGCTGAGAGAAATTGACAAGCCCAAGGTCACTTAGCTGGCTTCATGCTAACGATGGAACTAAAACTGCTGGCCTCCCAATTTCTAGCCTGATGCCTTAACCCAGACATGTCAAACTCGCGACATCATGTGATGTCACGCAACGTATAAGGACAGTTTTGCCATTGCCGGCAATGGGGTGGGCGCAGCTTCCGGATGACACATCCAGCCCACAGGCCGGCAGTTTGACACCCCTGCCTTAACCACTAGAATCATTTGGTTATGGTTGCTTTGTGATGAATTAATTTGACTCCTTTTACCAGAAAACCAGCAGGGCTCCCCTTTTTTACAGAAGGGCTGACTTCTGAATTTACATAGATGGTTTCAATTATCTCCATGTATGATCTGGACTTCCAATCACAAGAAGAATGTTCATGGCCTCTGTAGACATGCCTCTGGGCTTGTTCATGGGGGCTAAAGGCAGGGCCATTTATGACTGCTTTATGTGGGGAATGGCTGAAGCAGACATAATCCTCTTCTGAAATCAGAAGATACTTTGCTGTTCATTCCAGGAGAAACCAGATCCTCAGAAAGGCAGAAATGTTGTACAGAGCAAAACTCCCAGACATTTTCTAGGTTTTCTCTGTTCATAGCATTCTTTTGGCTGCTGAGAAATAGAATTCCAAAAGCAGCTGTGAATGTAGAATATGGCACCCAGGTGCCGTATTGAGACTTGCTGAGTACATTGTAGCAGAGTTGCTCTGTATATGTTTTATGCCAAAATAACTACAAAGCCTTCACTTAGAATCAGGGCAACAAAGTATGGAATATGTCCCTCTATAGATTTCTTCTCTCTCAGATTACTCCCCTCTGTGCCTAATTATTCAAAGTAGTATAGAGTTTGTTCCTTAGCTAAACTTCTAACTGGTCTGGCTTCCCTGAATTCAAAGTTAAAATTCCCTTCACCCATAGTTAGTACGGCCATTGCTTCTATTGGTTAAGTTGCTGAGAATAATAAAAATTGTCATTCGGCAATCTTTGTAGAAAACTGAGTAGAGAAATTGCCTTAAATAATAGCCAAGGAGTAATTCTGTACTTCTCACATGTATCATCTTGAAGGAAGATCTTAGACTATTCTCTAAGCAACATACCTAACAATACTGTATATGATTGGAATTGAATTTTCATCAGTATAATGATTCTCTAATGATGGGAATTTGGTTACATGTCCTCCTTTTCCTCCTTCTATTATTTGGCTTTTAATTAATGGTCTGTCCTCTTCTCCTACCTCATTGTTACCCTCCTCTGCAGTGACCGGGTAGCCCGACATTATTACTACTGCCATCTGAGGGAACAAGTGTTGAAGTCACGATGCACCAACAAAGAAGAAATTTACTTCCTACTGGCTGCTTATGGTCTGCAGGTTGACCTTGGTGATTACAAAGATAACGTCCATGGAGAGAACTATTTTGAACCTCAGACATATTTCCCTCAATGGGTGAGTCTGGATACAAAGCTAAACTATTAGCTTTTGAGGCACTGTTGTATTCAAAGAAGCTTAAGAATCTTTCTTCTTTTGCACGTTCTCTACATTCCTGTTTCACCTTTGCCTCGACAGGATACAAGTAATCTGAATTCACCCCGCAATTGATGCTGGCCACATCCTTGCAGGATGAGCCACTCAAATGTGCTTTTCCTCATGACAGTTCTGTAGTTCTCCCGGAGTCTTTGCTTGCAGATCTTCAGCAAGTGAAGATGTTTGAAATGAAAAATGGGGAATGGCACTGAGAGAGAGTATAGAAACAAGTTTTTCCTACCAGCAACCTTCTTAAATCTTCAGTCTTTCCTGAAAATTCCCCATCCAATAAGGTCCTTAAGACTGCAGGGTATAAAAGGAACACAGAATTCTCCTGAAGCAAATACTTCACTAGCCATAGCCTGTTCTCCCAAATTCTCTGGAAACTAGGCTGAACCACCAGAAATATATCCCTGAGGGACCAGGAGGAAATTCTATACCAAAGAAAGGTGGTTTTAATATTATGCAAACACACATCTTCCTAATACAGTGCTTCAGTCTCAGCCAACCACGGTTTTCTCTCCTGTGGATATTCTCCGTTGAGAATAAAATTAACCTAAGTGATGTGGGAAAGGAGTAGCACTGATCTGTTCTCAGAGCCAGTTTTTTTTTTACTAGAGTCCAAAACTCCTTGTCCTTATCTTATTATTTGCCTGCTATCAGATAAGTAGGTAATTTATTATTAGAAACGAACCTGGCATCCAGTGAGATGTGTCTCTCCCTACCTCCCCACCCCACCCCACCCCGGGTATGGCAGTGAGATTGTGCATACAATACTTCTCCATTGATTCTGAGGGTTCAGGATTGTTGCAGCATGAAGCAAAGAATTGTGGTCATGGTCATAGCTGTTGGGGAGGAGGCCAAAAGCAGCAAGCAAACACGCAATTTTCTTTGGAAATCTGGTTCCTAAACCCTTGGTGCTGAGCCGATGAGCTAAGAAAGATCAGGCCCCCAGGCAGCCAGATAATTAACACTGTGTGAAATTTGATGAGGCACACAAAGAACAGACATACCATAGCCACCTAAGGGATCCTCCCTCTAATTAAGAAGACATTCAGGAGGAATTCTTGTCCAAGGTAGATCTTAAGGGCTTCTTAAAGGTCAGACAGTGATTAGGCAGAAGAATGCTGGCATAGTCGGTCTCAGTTGTAAAAGCTCCCTAAATGCATACTAACTCCCTAACAAACATGGTCATATATAGGCTGGTTACTAAGAATTGCAGAGAGCCTCTGGGTCACCCACAGAGAAAAAGCTGATCAAGTTGGAAGAAAAATCTCCAGTTGAAAGATAGGTAGAGCCTCCATATATTGAGAAGTGTCCGGGGGGCTGTAAAATTGCCAGGTGAGATCCATGAGTCTTATGCTTTTCAGCTTATGAGATTTCTGTCCCACCTTTATTCCAGGAGTTCAAGGTAGCATAGATAACATTTCTTCCTCTATTTAAGAATATCCCTGCGTTTGGGATATCCTCTTTAATGGGGGATATGTGGAGATTACTTCCACTTTGATTGGTCGGTCCATTTTTCTGCAAGCAAAATGACTAGGAGGCCCTGGTCTGCTGATTAGGAGGGGCCATTGCTTTGCTTCACTGAATTGCTTTGAAGGTGTGTTTGCTCAGACTTCTGATGAATTGAACTCCTTTGAAGATCTGTGTAACCCTGCTTCTCAAACCTTCTTAGATTACTCTCTTACAGAGTACCCGTGAACTGTCAGAGAGGCCAGCATGCAGGAGAAATTCTTCTCGGTTCACACACTTTGAAAAGCTAAGAAGCTGTTGATTCAAATCTAGGGTGATAGTCAAAGGTGACTTAAGATATCTCTGGCTTTCTGAACTCTTTCTACACCTCTACAGTCATGTTTGCTTACATTAGATCAATTATCAGTCATAACCATTTTGATGAGATAACACAAACTTAAAAATAAACTAAGTTAGACTTCCGCAACTCCGGCACGCTCCAGGTGCACAGATTTCAGTTCCCAAAATTCACTTACTATGGCCATTGTTAAGTATTTGGATGACTGCAGTGCACACATCTGGAAATTCCCTATGTAGTGAAGTCTGAACAGACTAGTCCAGGGGTAGGCAACCTTGGCTCTTTTATGACTCGTGGACTTCAACTCCCAGAATTCCTGAGCCAGCCGTGCTGGCTCAGGAATTCTGGGAGTTGAAGTCCACGAGTCATAAAAGAGCCAAGGTTGCCTACCCCTGGACTAGTCTATTAGCAAAAGTATCTTCTGAAGACAGAGCTTTTAACAGATTCACTTTTTATTATGCTGCTCCTGAACTTCTCTCCAGATTAACATTTAGATTTACTTAAATTTACATTATTTTGAAAATGATGAATATACCTACCATAAATGTTTTTTACTATTATTTATTGAGCAGTTTTGCCATGTACTTAAAAGCAGACAAAGTTAGTAAGTTCTTACTATATATGTGCTAAGTAATAATAGCTAACTCCTTTGGGGGGGGGGGAAAGACGTGTGCATATTTGTATTTATTTTAACTTGTTTTTATACATTTGAATATAGTTCTTCACCTTGTTTGGAGTTCAACATGCTGTATAGTTTAATTGTTTTTCACATTAAAAATAAGAAAGTACATAATAAAAGCCTTAATGCTCCAAGAAACTGTAGATGAACATATTTGGGGAAAGATATATTTATAAAATTAAAGAGATGGTAATGAAGGCATTGGGCAGGCCTTTCTGAGCGTGTTCCATAGTCAGGAACAGCAGCTGAAAAAGCTCTCTATTTTGGCAAAGATGGGCAAATGAAAAAGTGCATTCTCACGAACACCTTGCACTGTATGGCGGTTAAGAACTTTTGAGACAGTTTACTTTTAGTTTAATATTACCATTTGTTGAATTTTAGCTGCCTTCTCCTGTCAGTTTAACAAAGGGAAGCTGATTATGGTTTTTTCCCCCCTTCTGATAGATAATTGCCAAGCGAGGGAGCGATTACATCCTAAAGCATGCACCACAGATGCACCGAGAACAGAAAGGGCTGTCAACCAGAGAAGCTATTCTGAAGTATGTCAAGGAGTCGTGTCTGCTGGAAGATGTCCCTGTCCACTTCTACAGATTGCATAAGGTGCAATAAGAGGTCTATTCTCAAGCTTCAGAACCGAGGTGTCCAACTATGGCAACTTTTATGACTTGTGGATTTCAACTTCCAACCAGCCACGCTGGCTGAGGAATTGTGGGAGTTGAAGTCTACAAGTTTTAAAAGTTGCCAAGGTTGGACACCCCTACTTATAATATTTTGCCTGCCAGTAGATCTTGTTTGCGCTCCTATCCTATATATGTATTTTGAAAAAAGCTGTAGCTATCAGAATGTGATGCAATAGCAGGGGTTTTCACCTCTCTAGAATAGTCAATAAAAGAAAGCTTGCTTTCTGTCAACCTTCTACTTTCATCTAATCTCATATTTACCTTCTCTTTTAAGATACTCATGGGTTTTGCCTGGTGTAAATTAAAAGTGCTAAAAAGTGGCAAGATCTAACATGTCTCATGCCCAAGTATGCAACAGGTTGAAAATTGGTTGCTTTAATACTTGGATTCCTGCTTAACTTGAAATACTGGAGTGAGTGAGTGATTATGAGTGTCTATGTGCTCCTCCCCCACATCCTTCATATGCCGATGGATGGGCAAACTGTATTTATTTATTTCTCTTTCACTATTGATTTCTATGGTGTTGGTGGTGATGTTGAAGAAGAAGAAAAAGAAGAAAGATGGATAATTGTTTATGAAGTGGGCATAGATTTCAATCTAAGGTTTCAAAACAACATTGTTAAAGTGCTGATAACCTTCACAAGAAGCTCTTTCGTAATCAGCATAATTGGATAAAAGAGAAATCTGGAATTACTACTCGGAGTTTCACCAGTCAAAACCTAATCCTTAAGACTGTTAATTCCCTAATTCATAGCTCCTGTTTATCATGGGTGGATGCTGCCTAGAGATGAAACCAAGGTAGAGAACAAAAGACTTCCATGCATCCTGCTGAGTGCTTTTCTCAGAAATCTTGTGATGGTCTTGGCTAATCCTTTGGAGCTTGACTTGTCAGCTTATTGGCTACAAACCTGTGTTTGCTAAGAAATGCTCTTCTCACTTGATCTTCCATTTCATCAGTCCTGAAATGACCTGAACAGTTTGGTGCAAGTGATCCTTTAGGCCAGGGGTCTTCAAACTTGGCCCTTTTATGACTTGTGGACTTCAACTCCCAGAATTCCTCAGCCAGCGTGCCTGGCTGAGGAATTCTGGGAGTTGAAGTCCACAAGTCATAAAAGGGCCAAGTTTGAAGACCCCTGCTTTAGGCTGAAAAATAGTGATGGGGGGAGGGGTGTTTTATGCTGCTTCCACCTGAAACTGCTCAGTGCTAGAAAGAAGTATTTAGTATGGCTGGATGGGAATTCTGAGAGAAAGGGCTTTTCTTGATATTTGCTTTCCCTACAGAGAAAGCACCCAACATCCAGAAAAGAATAAAATGTGCAGCAACATAAGTATCTTTTGACAGGCTGATCGCAAAGAAACAAAACTTCTTAAGAACCAACGAAATGTCCAGTTCCATTGACCCGAATTCTGAAATGCTATCGCAAAAAAAGTTCTTTCTATATCACCTGAAAGTGGTCAGGTGAACTATTCTTCAGTTTAGGACCAACAACAGAAAATAACATTGCTGGACGTAGCTTAGGTTGCATTCAGAGTACATGCCACAGGCTATTAAATCACCTGCATGAGCAAGTAAGCCATAAAACAGCTAACATTATACTCCAGCTTAGCATATGTGTCAAGTGTGCAAATGCAGCTGCTGATTTGGTTGAGAGCATTGTATGAACGCAACCACAGGGGTGGAACATCTACAAAGTAGACTTAACAGGAAGCAGGGAGAAGAGTGACAGTGTAGAGACACTTTGAGGTAACTGTTGCCATAGGAATTTCAGCTTGGAAACAACTTTAAACATTCAAAGTGGAGGCTTGAGCAGCGCTTGGAACCTCCCTCCAGCAGATGTCGTCACTCCCAATTTGATTCAACCTGCTCCCACATGTCCACATCTTCTGGAAGCAGGCAGCTAAAACCTTCTGAGTCTTCAAGGCCAGCTCCTTACCTAGTACATTTCAGGCATTCATTCGAGAGCTTACTAAAGAATGGATAAGTGTAACAAAATCCTATCTTCCAAAGAAGGGTGCTGCTGATGGGAGATAACTTTGACCTAGTTCTAGCCCGCAACTGTGTCAGGTTGAGAATCACTGTAGGCCAGGCATGTCAAACTCATGACGCCACATGACATTGTGCGACGTATCGCGATTTTTTTCCCCATTGCCGGCAATGGGGTGGGCACGGTTTTACCGTGCCCGTGGGCCGGCAGTTTGACATGCCTGCTGTAGGTTATAGCTGTCTTTTGATGAGTAATAGCATCCTCACTAATTCTCAGGGAAATGAAGATGCGGAATTCCTTGCCATGTTGAATCTCTCTTTCTTCTCAGGATAAGAAGGAGGATCGTCCTACAGTCATCCTTGGTTTGACACTTAAAGGGATACACATCTATCAGGTAAGAACATCTATAGCATTGGAGTGCAGATATCCCTTCAGGTATATAAGATCTTACTTTATTAAGCTTACTTTAATGTTTCCATAGGTCACATTTTAAATGTTCAAGTACATACAAATAAGTATTGTGCATGCAATGCAAAGTAGCCAGGTCAGAATTAGGAAGTCAGTCCAATGCCAACAGACACAAGTTTTTTTCAGAATACAAGAGTCATGTGTGTTGGAGTAGGCTTCTATTCTCAAACAAGTCACGTTAATTTCAGTTCAGTTCTTGGACATGAATATAGAATTTCAGCCATAATATAGTATTACAAATAGAGCCAATTTGGTCTAGTGGTTTAAGACAACAGGCTAGAAAGCAAGAAATTGTCAGTTCAAGTCCCGCCCTAGCCGTGAAAGCCAGATGGGTGACTTTGGGCCAGTCATTCTTGCTCCCAATTCAACTCACAGGGAAAACAGGAATAGGAAGGTGTGTTGGATATGTCCTCTGCCTTGAGTTATTAGTAAAAAATAATAAAAGTGGGATACAAATAAATAAATAAAATTAGTGTTAATTCTGTCCATTCACAAGAACTCATGTTACTTTCGTCTTCATCATTAGGGTTATAGGAGAGAGTGATAAGGGGTTTTTTTGTTTTAAGATTTGGACATTGTTAATAGTACTTTGGATTTTAATACTGTTTGGTTAATTTTATTAATTATTACTGTCTTAATAAAACAGGGGTTCCCAACCCCCGGGCTGTGACCCACTACTGGGTCTCAGCCCAATCAGAACTGGGCTGCACAAGTGGCAGGCAAGCATGTGCACATGCAGCTCCGTTTGCATGAGTGGGGAGCACTTACACTCACACATGCAATTCCATTTGCACGAGCAGCAGGCATGCACACTCGCCACTTGTGCAAATGGAGTTGAGCGCATGCACAGACCCATTCCCTCTCCTCCCTGCCAGTCTGCTAAGCCAGAAAGGTTGGGGACGACAGCAATAAAAGATAAACCAGAAGTTTTCTGTAGATGTTTTGCTCATCTGATTCACTAAAAAAGTGGACTATATGATATTAGCTGAACATTTTAATTAAATTTTTTATTCTGGCATTAGCTTATGGTATTTCTCTAAAGAATTTTGGTTACATAGTTGAAATGTACTGTCAAGTTATATATTTGAATTTAACGGGGGGGGGTTATATGACAACAAATACAACAAAGTAAAAATAAGCTTTTTTTTCTTGACTGGATTATTTTTTAATATCTTTATCCTTAGTAAATCACATAAACAATTGTACAACCTGTTAACCAGTCTAACCAGGTTCTGCTAAGTTGACTGGAGGTTAAGAATACCCATTTTAATGTATCACCATTAAAAGATTTAAATTTCCTTGATTAGTTAAAAAAAGATTGCGAGATGAATTTTTCACACATAGGAAAAAATTGTGCCAATGTGATAATTACTGTATATTGAATACTTTCCAAACATATGTTAAACATTGAATTATTACATGTGCCTCTTGAAAGAAAAGGGCAAAGAAATTTCAACCAAGTATCCTGGGGGAAAAAATCAAGGAACCTTTGCTTAGTTATAAATTAAATCTATATAAAAAAAGAAAGGTCCCTAATCCAGGTGGATTTCTAACAGGATGATAGACATTATTTATTGAAATTTTGGCTTCAATATTGTTGATAGTATATACGGAAGTTAATGTCACCAGAACATTTCTTTCCTCATTTTACTGAGGCTTACATTCTGATTTACATATTAACACCAGGTAAAGAACTGATATTCAATGTTCTTGTTAAAACCTTGACAACAACTTTAGCATGGAGATTTCAAAATATATTTCCTTTCATAGTTCATCCTGCATGATCCAGCTTTGCAAAAGTAAGGCAAACCTACAACAATATTAAACTATTAGTAGATAATTTTAGAAATTCAACATAAAAAAAATTCATTTTGGCACTTTCTTTAGATGCAGAAAAAGCCTTTAATATTGCATGGATCAAGTTTTTGAATCATGTTTTGGGGAAAAAATGATTTTCATGCGTTTAATATTGTTATAGGAAGTAAACCACGTTCGACAACTACTTTACGATTTTCCCTGGTCACATATTGGAAAAGTTGCATTTCTGGTAAGTGTTAAATAAGACTTCTTAAACCTACTTTTAGTTTAAATCATATGAGTTGTTAAAAGCTTGGAACAGGTAAATATAAATTAAATATAAAATGTGTTTGTAGGAATATACATGAATCTGTATTGTATATACACGTGTGTGCTTATTCTAGCACAGAAATAGATAACATGTAACTTAACCTGTAGTCCTGCAGTTCTTTTTCATGTACCCAGGAACTAAATTCAAGTGAATTAAGTGGGCTTCTTTCTGTATAGAATTGTAATTCTAGCATATTAAAATAAAATAAATTGTAGTAGCAATGCCAAAACAGGGCAGTGATACTATAGGAGGAGAAAAGAAACCTGCATACAGATGTAAGTTGAAGTGAAAATGGTCTCAGTTTTTGGTTAGAGCTAACAGACTTTTTGAACAACATAGAGTACATATCCTTCACTGGCCAATCTGATGGCAAACTCATTTCTTCTTCCATCTCATATGTTAGATAACCTAGGAATTAGTAAGATAGTGCGTCCGCTGAGCCCTCCCTGCTCTCCAAATGTGCTCAGAATGAACTCCACATTCTTTTTATAGAGAGTTTCCAAGTTTTCAAGAAATGGATCTGACCAAGTCTGCAGTGCTTTGGAAAAGAAGTGGTAAGAAAAGTATAACGTGCTGCAAGTCCCCTCTAGTATATTTCTGTGAGAAGGACAAAAATTCTGAGTGCTAGAAATGCGGTATGCCCACTGGTCTGGCTCTGGCAAAAACTATGGTGGTACACGTCCAACAGGCAAAGACAACCAGTCAAAAAGAATCCAATCATCATTTCCTTAGAATGGTGCATTTACTTTAAGCTTAACATAGGAGATTGGTCACCTTCTAGCTTCTACATTGGCATATGCCACTGCCAGATCCTTCCAGGTGCACTAGGTGCACATAGGCTGCAAGAAGCCCAATTGTCTGCCTCTGACCACACAGGTTATTGCTAGTATGGAGTCTCGGAGAGAAACTGTTTAAAAGCATCCATGTTTGTGTGTAAACTGCAGATACATTCTTTGCCCCTGGAAAAGGCTTGAATTCCCAGAAAAGAGTACAAAGATACAGTCTCAACCCGTCAAAAGTTTCTTTACCTGCTGATGTGCCAGGATGCTGCTTTTATAACTGAGAGTAGTTTGGATCTTGAAAGATCTTGACATCTGAAGAAGCCAACCATTGAAGATATTTGGACCGGATTGATAACCTAACTGATAGGAAGCGGTCATAATTCAACAGGAAAAGTTATATTTGAACATCTATAGAGAAATTTATTCATTAAAGCCCCTTTTTTGTGCACAGCTTTTATGACTCGTTCCAATGTCTTTCAAAGACTTACATTTTTCCTTCCCTTTCCTCTCTTGTCTTCCTTTTTTCTTTTTCTTTTTAATTTAGGGGAAAAAATTTGTGATCCAGCCAGATGGTTTGCCTTCTGCCCGTAAGTTGGTTTACTATACAGGCTGCCCCTTCCGATCTCGGCATTTGCTACAACTGCTCAGCAACAGTCACCGGTTGTTTCTTAATATCCAGCCCATACTCAAACAGATCCAGATGCTGGAAGATGCAGAAGGTATGTGAAAATGATGCTGCCCATAAAGATTTAAAAAAAAAAAATGAAAGCCATGATTAAGTTGGTGGGTGGGTTGAATATGTAAATATTTATTTGGTAAACCAAATAACAATTTGAGCCAGTTGAGACAAGCAGGAGCAATATCAATGAGTGATAACGTTGGGCACCTGCCAAAGTTTGTATTCTATTAATAGATTATCAACCAAACCACTAACCCCTAACCACGGCTAATCATTATTACCTTTTCTGGTTTGCTTGTCTTTGGAGCCAAAGAAGGCAGATGGTGAGATGAAAGAAGAGAAAGTTTTCCGACCCACTTTGGCATTTTATTCTTTATTTGTTTATTTTATTTAACTGAGCTAATGAGTCCCTCCAATTATTACAAACTCTGAGCAACTGACATACCCAGCATCCATAAAACAGATGACAACAGTGAATAATTACCCCCAATAAAACAGAATTTCCATCTCTAGACTGAGGCACCTAGTTCTACATTACACAAATATCCTGCTGTAAGAAGGGACGGCCTCAGTTTCATAGGGGAAGGTGTACAGGTCTGCCTCCATTGTTCCTATGGATGGGACCCAATGAGATCCTATTCTTCCTGATTTTATTGGATAGGCAGATCCAGTTGGAAGTAGGTGGTCTCAAAAGAGGTGTGTGCTTCAGCTTAGAGCTATAATACATTCAGTGGACATTAAACAACTGCAAAATAAGCAGAAAACTAGCACAAAAAGTCACCTCTTACATTCAGAACAAATGTTGCATGTTGGTAGGGATGCATTCATACTGTTTCCAATTTATTTTTCCCCTGTAAGGGTATCCATTTTTTTTATTAATTTCAACACATGGAATAATTCCTATGCAAAAGAAATATGGTTAAATGAAGAGCAAGGAAAAGAGCTATGTGGAACAATGCTGGAACAGAAGCAAATCATAAATGCTATATATGATAACTGGGTGGGATATTGTCTTTTCTTTAATAAATTAGTTCTTGGTTGCTAGGTTTCATTTCTCTTTTTCCTGTAACATTTTTTGTATCCGTGGTGCGCCTGGGTGGCACAGTGGTTAGAATGCAGTACTGCAGGCTATTTCTGCTGGCTGCCAGCAGTTCGACAGTTCAAGTCTTACTGGCTCAAGGTTGACTCAGCCTTCCATCCTTCCGAGGTTGGTAAAACGAGGACCCAGATTGCTGGGGGCAATATGCTGACTTTGTAAAACCACTTAGGGCTATAAAGCACTGTGAAGCAGTATATAAGTCTAAGTCTAAGTGCTATTGCTATCACGTATCTATAATTTTTTTATATTAATTTAACTTCCACTATTATGTAAAATTCAGTTTATTTATTTCTTTTTCACACTTTTCTTTATCCCCCACCCCCCGCCACTCTTCCAGAGAAAAAGAGGTATCGAGAATCCTACATCAGTGATACTTTGGAGATAGATTTCGATCCATCAGATAAGCATTCTCATGACAGTGGAAGCAGCAGAGGAAGTGAGAGTAACAACCGACTGTCTCGACAGTCCACTGACAGCCATGGCAGTTCACACACCTCTGGCATTGAGGCCGACTCGAGACAACACCTGTCCATGGAGATGTCTGTGGACGAACCCTTTGGGCTGGATCCAGTTCATCAGAAGGAGCAGTCCTGCAGTTCCAACCTCAGTTATAGTAGCTCTGGAATTGATAGCGGCAGCAAAGAGAAAGCTGAAAATGACTTGCACGATGATGGTAAGTTGTGGAAGGACAGAATCACTAGTAGCAATTTTGTCTCCCAAGACAAGATGGAAAAAGCAGAAAATGGTTGTCAGGTGGGTTTAGAAAAAGGCAGTATTCTTAGTAATTTTGCTTATATCGTGTCCAGAGGTGGAATTGGCAGTGGATGAACCAGATACTTTACCTGCAGATGAATCTCATTTTGAAGAAATGATCCGTGAGGAATCTATTGATTCTGAGGCAAAAGATGGTATTTGGTGCCAAGGTAGGATGGCATTTGCATGATTCTTCATGTATCAGCGTTGCCCCCTGTTAGTAAAACGTTGACATTTTCTAACTCTAGTTAAAACAAACTGGATTACCAATTGTTCAGATGAGATTAATTTTACGTAAGAAACTTCAGTTCTACCCTTTTACTGAACTGGAAGAGATTGTATGTATAAGGTGAAGGGAGACAATTATGGACCAGTTTATTTGTCTGTTGTTGATTAATAAAAGTGCAAGGCCAACATTTTGTGTGGTCTTCATTTCATAAGGAATAATGATAAGTCCAGCAGTTTCTCTAAGCACCGAGATTCTTAAATTGCTAAATGAACCATTAGCACATTCAGCACTTTTTATGAATGTTAGAAGCTTAAAGTCAATTTGAATATATAATATGTTTTGCTTTCTCTCTAACTTGCTTTACAAATTGTTATTAAATACTTAGCATTCATTTACCTGTGAGTACTAGCGTACCATAGTGTATTAGATAGCTATAATGAGATGTGTGAACTGGTGGGCAACATACCACTATGACTTGCCAATAGGTGTAAAAGATCAATTATATTGGGGGGGGGGGAAAGGTTTGTGTGACAAATTGAAAGTTATTTTATCATCTCTTATCTTCAGGAAGTAATCTAAAACAAGGGGATTCATATTACTGGAAGGTTTGTCTTTTGCACTGAAGTTCCTTAAATAGATACAAACTCTAATCTGTATGTAGGCATACCTATGAAATCAATGCATCCAAATCCAACCAAAACCAAGCATAGTACTCAAGCTTTGAATGAGGGTTACACTTCTTTAATGGGACATCTACATCTCTTGTGAAGTAAGCGAAGTAAGAAGTAAGTCTTCAGAAATTCCAGTTCTGGCTGACTTGCTTGAACAATTTTAGGATCTCATCCTGGCAGCCCAGACTTCATCATGCATTGAATTGAGTCAATTCTTTTGAATAAGATTGTATTGATTGATATGTTGAGAGCTGGCTCCAACCCTGTCCCTAGAAGCTGCAGAACCCATCTTCATTTTCAACTGTCACTCACTATCCTGATTTCCTCTCTGTCCCTCACAGATATTAATAAGGATCCTTTATCTTTGGTGCATGTTGCCGTAATAAATGTCAAAGGCCAGAGTGCGGACTCGCTTAATCAGGTAAGATCATGGTTCATTAAAGAGTGGAATGAAATCTCATTTCATTTATCTTCTGCTATATCAAGGCACTTTGTTTCCTCTGTGAGTCCACAAGAATGCCACCATCACAAAAATTGTGCCACAACGGTTGGTGGCAGAGTGCTGAGAAATGAAAATTGTTTTTTTTCTTTTTCAGTGCACATTTAAATTAAAACAACATTTTTTACATCAATTACTTGGGGAGGGGAAAACCAACCCAAATCCCCCCCAATATTTTTGCCAAGTACATACACTGTCAGATTATTTAGCACTTAGTTTAGTGTATAGAATAGTGAGAATGATGCTTATGGAGCTTAGAATGTAGCCATTAAACACTGGGTAACTTCATAATTGCTTAGTGGTTCATATTTTTTTCACTGACAGAAGTTTCACAAGAGAAATGCTAGTAATATTGGATGAGATGGATAATCGGGGGCAGCTTGCATAAACCAACTTTTTTTGATGTCCTGTTTGCTGAATGCTGCTTGCTTTAAAAAGATGTGCTCTTCTTTAATTGGCAGATTGCCCTGCCCAAAACAGCAAAGGGCCCAGAGCAGCACAGCCAAAGTCTAGATGATGTCCGTCTCCGCAAATGTCTGCATTCGCCATTGAGCACCACGTTGTCATCAGATACCTCTCACAGTTATACTTTTGGTTGTGCCTTTGAGGATAAGCTAGCCAGCTATGGATGTGTGTATTCAACAGCCGATTGTAAAACTAAATCAGCACTCTATGGAAAGAGGTCCATGAACTGCTTGTCTTTAGATCTCTTGGGAGAAGATAAGTTCCCAGAAGAATTTGTGGTGTAGCCACATGGTGGAAGCTCTTGGATCATCTTTTCAGAACATCTGCAAAACCATTGAATTACTACTGTTGGGAAACAGTACATGCACAAGTATCTTTAATGCTTTATATCTCACTGGAACATTTTGTCACTAAGAATGCAGCTGGCAAAGGACCTCAAATAGTGAATGTCCAACCTAAATGTATTTCCTCCTAGTCTGTTGCATCAGACACTTTTTCTTCACCTGGTTGTACTATGTATAATTTGGAGGGAGGGGGGACATTTCCATTTTCCTGAAACCAGTCTACTGCCAGCAATTATCTACTATGCCGAAGCTTATGATTTCCATCATCATTAGCTTCATCAAGCTAGAATATGCATTGTTTTTATAAACTGTTTTTTTTTAATTCATGACTCTCCAATTTTTTTTAATTATAAACAACCTTTTTTGCCTATTTTCAATGTGAATAAATCAATGTAGGTGGGGAAAACTGTTTTCAGGCTTTGCTTCTCCTTGTTTTATTTACTTCTATGTAGGGAGATATCCCTGTTTGTTAGAAGCCGCTAACGTGCAGTAATGTTTGTAGGGGCCTGATCCGTGTGATAGAATACTATGTAAGAAACAGAAAGAATTATACAAACAAATGTTGCCCCTTTTTTAGAAATGATCAGCAGGTCACTGACTAGAAAGTTCTATACTATTGGTATAAAGGGTATTCAGAGCTATATCAAAATTATCCCCCTATCTGAAGGATAATACAATTCAGTACTGAAATCTCATTGGTTTGGAACTAGGTGCACTTTTTATATGATTATTATTCTAGATGGATATTAACTACTCATTCTTGAGAAATGTTAGCTTGCTAATGCTTGATTTATTTCACAAAGATGGTGTTGCCATAAGTTTCGTAAGACACACATGGACATGTGTTTCTTCTGAGAGACACCATCTATCTATGAGGAGCTGATAGCCTCATGCCAGCAGGTCTGTTCTGAGTCTTTTCTGAAAAAAATGTGAATTGGGAAATAGGGCTGGTGGCTGCTCTTTCCTCCCTCAGGGGCCCCTTGTATTAATGCTGTGTCATAAAACATTATCATTCCAAGGACGGGGTTGGAAGGGCAAAGGGGCCACTTATAGGAGTATCTTGGCAGTAAACCTATTCTGGAAAAAGAAAAATATGCTCTTGTCCTCATTTTTCCTACATTCCCATATGTTTCCAATCTCCTCCCTAATTGGTAGAATTTTTCTCCCTAAACCATTAAATTGACTTTCTCATAAGTTCACCATTTTAAAAAGCAGAGAACTGAAGGGAACATTTCAGCCTGTGGGTATGAGCAAGATATCGCAGATTTCATCACTATTGCCCCAATTTTTATTCCCCTTCAGTACTTTTGAGGGAATATATATTTGACCGTGAATCTCTATGGGCCACATTAGAGGAGAGATGCCCATCACTCAGATGGAGAAGTCTCTTCCCTCCACCCCACTCCCATGTTTAGAAGACTACCACATTTGATACAAAAGGCTACCATACCACCATTATCCATACATAGACACATCACAGCCACAGTCCAAACAAGTCTTTCCACATGAATTCCTTTAAAAAACAAATGACACCTTTTAAGAATTATATAAATGCCATTTCAGCAAATTTTGAGTTTTTATTTTGAATAAGGGAGAAACGGATGACCAAGAATCGTAGAATCATAAGTCTGGAAGAAGTGTAATAGTACAGACGGTACGGGCTTCGTTGTTTTAGAATTTTCCTTTTACTTGTTTCTTTCAGTGTAAATGATCTTCTCTCAAAAGTATTTGCATTTTGACAGACAATCTGAGAGGGTCAGTTTGGCAATGTAGGCCATATATTGCAGCTAGTCCTCGACTTACAGCTTTTCATTCAGTGACCGTTCAAAGTTACAGTGGCAATGAAAAAAGTGACTTATGACCATTTTTCACTCTCCTGATCATTGCCGCATCCTCATGGTCAGGTGACCAAAATTTGGACACTTGGCATTATTTATGACAATTGCAGTGTCCCAGGGTCATGTGTTCACTTTTTGCAACCTTCTGACAAGGAAAGTCAATGGGAAGACAGACTCAAGTTATGGGCACATTCTGTACATTAGCCCATTTGAAGTACCTTGGTTCAAAAATGGTTGCCCTATGATGTACCATTTTGCCCAGTTAAAAGACATGACAACAAGAGTTTTAGTATATAGATCAGTGGTTCTCAACCTGTGGGTCGGGACCCCATTTGGGGTCAAATGACCATTTCACGGGGGTCGCCAAACCACGCTGTCCGCCATTTTTTTCCCTTTTCCCTAGCTGTCCTACTCCCTCTTATTGGTGGCTACACCCACTTGGGGGTCACCACAACATGGGGAACTGTATTATGGGGTCACGGCATTAGAAAGGTTGAGTACCACTGATATAGATGATCAGCATCAAACTCTGAGCCTTTTCTGTTACAAAATTCTCTTGCACAAGAAAGAGTCTATGACAGCCAGTTAAAGCAATATCTTGTTGCACCAATTGCTCTAATTAGTTCTTGTAACATTTTTTTTTATTTTATCTGCTTGATTATAAATGATGCCAACTTTCACATTTGTGCATGAAAAATCACTGCCAATCTTTTTCTTTACATGTTGCCGCATTACCAAAGGCTGTGATATAGTCACTCCTATCTGCTATATAAGTAGTGCTATTATTTTTTTGTAATAAGTGAGAATGGAAAAAGTGCAACCTGTTCAGATTTTGGCTTGATTTCCCACAAGAGATATGAGGAGATGAACAGGGCAATGGAGGAATTCCCAAACCACAGGCAATATGAAGATGAGTTCTTGTGGAGAACTATGAGATTCAGTTAGTAAGTTTGATAGTATTTCCAGCTGTTATTATTTCATCTTTAATTCTCTTCTACTGAACTCATAACATTGTGTTATTTCTGACTAGGCTGTGCACTCAGAGTCTTTAAGGCTTTGGCACAGAAATGAGAATCAGGTTCAACTGATGCAAAGTCTTAATGAAAACTCTCATCGCACAACTTTCTTTTGATTCAAGAGTTACAACCTATATTTCTAATTTCAGTCTTGAGATTCTACTTTATGTACAGCTTAACTGATATATGGGGTTGCTCTTTTAAAATGCCTTACAGTCTATAGAAGATAGAAAAATTACCTGTCTCAACTGAATAATATTTTTATCTCCATTTTTATGAAAGGAAATATTTTCTATTAAAAAAACACACACACCAATCATCTATTTACATAATAAAAGACAGTCAAAACTACACTGGAATGTGTGCTACTGTGAAACAACAATGAAAAGACAAGACCTCTGTACCCCAAGGGAACACTGCCTGCCAACTTCTTTGATCCTCGTGGTTACGATGCAACTGTTATTGCCAGATCAGCTAGTGTCCATATGAAACCCAGCATTTAATCATAGAAACTCTAGATCCCACCAGCTTTGGGAAAGTCCATTTTTTCCATAAGGCAAACATCTGCCTAATGCGAAGTTGTGGTCAAATATACCTGTGTTTTGTTCATCTCATCAGAAATAGACTGGCTCCAAATAGGAAATGAAATGCTAGAGAAAAAAGGAAAGTGATGTAAATTCTGGAAACTCAATTTTGTGGGTGAAAGCAGATATTGTCTGGGAAAGAAGAGAGGAAACAAGGTACATGCTTAAAAATAATAAAAATAGGGAGATGTCAGAATTATAAAATTAAACAAAGCAGATGTCTGTGAATGTCTGTTGAATGTATCAGTTGCTGAGCAGTGTATTTCAGGGGTACTTCAAATAAAAATATTCAGATGTGAATTTCTGCAAATGCAAAGACATATCTTTGTTCACCCTACAAAATACACAAATATATAATATAATATAATATAAAATGTAATATAATTATAATGTAGTGTAATATAATATAATAATAAAGTTGGAAGGGATCTTGGAGGTCATCAAGTCCAACCCCCTGCTCAGGCAGGAAACCCTATATCCGAAATGGTTTCAGACAAATGGCTGTCCAGTCTTTTCTTAAAAACTTCCAGTGTTTGGAGTATTTACCAATTCTGGAGGCATGTTGTTCTGTCAGGAAGTTTCTCCTTAGTTCTAGGTTGCTTCTCTCCTCAATTAGTTTCCATCGTTGCTTCTTGTCCTGCCTTCAGGTGCTTTGGAGAATAGCTTGACTCCCTCTTCTTTGTGGCAGCCCCTGAGATATCGGAACACTGCTATCATGTCCCCCCTCATCCTTCTCTTCATTAAACTAGACATACCCAATTCCAGCAACCATTCCTTATATGTTTTAGCCTCCAGTCCCCTAATCATCTTTGTTGCTCTTTTCTGTACTCTTTCTAGAGTCTCAGCATCTTTTTTACATCTTCTAAGCACATTTGCAGTTCTGATCCACTAATGAGGCTCTCTGTCTGCCTGAAAACAATTAGGAAAATTCACTTTATTATATTGCCATTTTTATAACTTTACTGAGTTTCCAGAACTTACATCACCTTCCTTTTTTCTCTAGCATTTCATTCATTTTTACTGTAGTATATAATAAAAAGGGGGGGAACTAGTATGTAATAATTGTAATTTTGTTCCTCTAAAACACACAAAACTCTTTCTGATGAAGTGAATGGTGATAGTAGTTAGAAATAATTCATTTTTCAGAAAGTATATGATAAACCTTTTATAATAGCTATTCAACAACAACACCCCCCGAGTTTTTCTTCTCCATGCTGTTCTTTGGTATCTTCATTCCCTGAAACTTTTGAGCGACCAATAGATTGTGCAGACTTCATGCTCTTTTTTAATAGATTGGCTGTGCAAAGAATTATCTTTATCCCCAAGCAAGTATAGTTCATGTTTCAAATCTCTCTTTAATAATAACCAGCCTTCCTTTCAATTATTCTGCAATATATTTTTCCCTTCAGCTTTGTTTTGTATAATACTGGGGAGTGAAATTACTTTGCAGTCTTTTACTGCATTTTGCTATTTTTCCCAAAGAACTCAATTATTGTCTAACTCAGGGGTGGACAACTATGGCAATTTTACAAGCTGTGGACTTCAACTCCCAGAATGCTGGAAATTGAAGTCCACAGGTCATAAAATTGCCATAGTTTCCCACACCTCTTCTAACTACACTGGCAAATTTCTGTTTCTATAGCTACAATTTTGTTAGGGGTTACAAAAGGTGGATTAATAGTACAGTATTGTATGATTGTCTGACATGGATCCATACCATTGATTGATCTTGCTAGAAATATCTACTTTGCCATTAACTTGGGCTCTTTAGCTTTTCCATGGTCTGAGTATAGCTTGAAGTTCTCCACTGAAGTACCTTTCAGCTAGAGCAGGGGTAGGCAATCTTGGCTCTTTTATGACTTGTGGACTTCAACTCCCAGGAGTTGAAGTCCATGAGTCATAAAAGAGCCAAGGTTGCCTATCCCTGAGCTAGAGCAGTGTTTCTCAATCTCAGCACCTTTAAGATGTTTGGACTTCAACTCCCAGCATCCCTCAGCCAACATAAGTCCACACATCTTAAAATTGCTGAGATTGAGAAACACTAGTTTAGACTCGAGGCATAATTTAAAACAGGAGTTTATTTATTTTGCTTGTGGCATGAAATACATGGATAGCAGCATTACAAATGTATATAAAGAACACATAGTGATAGGATACACATAATATGAGGATGTATGATCAATTTTGTAAGATGTAGGAAAAAAATGCAAGCACTTATGTATTAAGTTACTAGTTATATTTTAAACAAAAACAAGAGCTGTATAGCATCAGTCAGCCAACTGTATGCCTGATACCCCTTCTCTTACTTCATGGGTGGGTCTTCTGGGTTGTATTGCTGGCTGCCAGCCAACAAGATAGCAAGTTGGATGTCCAACGCTATAAGAGTTCAGACAGAACAATCCTTAGGAAGGAAAATGTCTTTTCACCAGTATCTTAGGATGGCCGCCATCAATGTAGTCAACAAGATTGGCCTGAGCCAAGACCAGGAATTCTAGAACTTGAGTAACATCTCCAAGAGGAGATACAGGAGACAGGATAAAATGGAAGTCAGAATTCTAAGCAAGGCTCAGCAAGGTAAACACGAAAGAGCTGAAACCTGAAAGGTGATCTCAATGCTTTCTTTCAAGAATTAAGGTCAAAAAGCCATCCATGAT